GGGGGGGGGGGGGGTTCCACTTGAAGCAAAGGGGTTCGTACTACGTCGAATCGGGCGCAAATGTTTTGGGAGTGGTGTTGCGGAAGATCGGCGGGGTGGACCCGTCGATCGGCTCTGGCCCGAACAAGAGGCAAGTTTGTTCTCGTCTCGTTAAGTGGGACAGCGTCTTAGGTAGCCGGGCGTTGGAAGGCCGCAGGAGAGGTTTGGGGCTAGCGCGTGTGTGAAAGAGAGAGAGGCAAATTGAGAATGAGAGACAGAGGGACAGAAAGGGAAGGACAGACAGAGACAGAGAGAGAGAGAGAGAGAGAGAGAGAGCAAGCTTGTAAGCCGTCGGTATGACATCATCCGCTAGGCGGGAAAGTCGTATCGTGGGTATTCTTACGCTCCTCCCCCCCCCCCGTTCCTCCTAACACTTGCTTTGGCGAGATCATGCGTGTCGGTGTTGTATGGTTGGGTGGCGTGTTGACCTTTCTTCGTAGCATGTCGAAAGCCAAGTCAAGCCACTGCAACAGAGACAGCGAGAATAGTTCACAAAAATAATTTGTTTGCCATGCAGGTGTGCAAGTTGTGCAAGCCAGAAGCCAGTCAGTCATGCACGAAACGCGCTTTTCCCATCCCCCCCCCCCCGCCCTTCCTTTTCCACGCCCCCTCGACAGCGTGCTCGTCTTAGTCCCTCATCCACCACCAACACCACCACCAACACCACCACCACCGTCTTTGCCACGAATGCTGTCTCGCTTGTCCGTCTGCACCGCTGCTGTGTGTGGCCCTCTACCCTCTGCACGTGCTACTCGTTTGATACTGCAACATGGGCACCTGCTGTGACACCACTGCTACTACCACTATATGTACCACCACTACATGTTACCGCTGCTACCACCACTTGGGGATCGTTCTGCGTACGGGGCTGGTAGTCTCTCCTGAAGCACATGGCGGCCCTGCGCAAAGACAACCGAAAATTCAAGGCCATTCTCAGGGATAGGCTGGTGAGACCATTGTTGTCGGGGGGTGGTGTTCGTGCTGGGTCTTTGATGAGCTTGTTGAGATGTCGAGCGACGCATCCCTGCTGTTGACCTCCCCCCCCCCCCCCGCATGTAAAACATTTGGTTAGCCGGGATTCCCGATCAACTCATGATACATCTGGTTTGGCACGGCAAACGCAAGGATCATGACCATGTCCTGGTTCACCCTTGAACCGTGGCCAGGGCTGGCGAAAACCCGGCATATCGCGCTCCCGTCCACGCATTGTAGGGATGCGAGGTCGACGGTCTAACGACCACGGCATGCGTTTACATGAGTACTCCCCCGACCCTCCCCCCGACCCTCTTGTGCCTGCCCGGCACACCCGATGATGTCCTTCCGGTTTGGTCGGGGTGCCTGTATGAGACACGGGAGCCTTTCGAGACAGACGCCCGCGGTCGGTCACACATGAACGTCTCACCGAGTACCCCCTCCCCCCCCCCGCGCGCGCGTGCCCCCATCCCACCACCGCTCGCTGTTGGATATTTTCTCCCTCATGACCGTTTGGTTTCTGCTGCTGTTGTGCCGCTTCGCCTCCCATTTATCTATCCATTGTTCGCCGTCAACCAAGGGCGAGCGGGCGCAGCAAGTGGTTTTCGATTGCACTTCAGAGGTGAGAAATGCGGGGGAACCTTGTTCAAACGTGTGCGCGTTTTCTATTTGTCGATCCTTATGGTAGCTATCGGCTGTGAGTTCTTGTTTGAACGACGTATGTACATGTGTAGGCCCTGTGTACGCCCCAAGACATGTCGCTGTGTCTTCTCGTGATACCACACACGCCGTTCCCTCCCTCCTGCACACCTTCCGTTTTCTGCCCCAACCTTCTCTGGGCATCACGGGCCGCCATGTTCACCTGCTGCCTTTTGCCCTCACCGCCCCCTTCCCGAAACGAAGTTGTCTCGACAAGTCACAGCCGGCAGCATGGAGGACGCCGAGGGAACCGACGGGGCCGTAACGATGACGATGGTGATGATGGACGTGCAAGCTGATGCAGAATTCGCCGCTGCGGCGAAGGGCGGGGAGGATAAGGATACGGGGGCGAGCAAACGCGGCGGCGGCGGCGGCGGTGGTGGTGGTGGCGGCGCCGGCGCTTCCACGCGGGGTCTTAGCAGGCCCGATTACCGCCTCATGAAGAGCATCGAGATGGTAAGTGGATCGAACGTCGAGTGATCTGGCTCAGGCTAGGTTTGGTGCTGTGGAAATACGGTTGAGTGATTGGTGGATACTGTAGACGGCGAGCCATGCCGGCCGGGTTTTCGTCTGTTTTAGGAGTTTGCGGCATGAAGACGAGGTTGTACAACTTGTCGTGAAATCGTTCGAGAATGTCAATTGCGACTGTTTCTGGTAGGCCCAAGCAGGCAGGCCGTGTGTTATTCTGGTTGGCTATCGCGGAGTTTTCCGGTGCAGACGTCTGTCTAACAACGCTAAACGACCCTGACCCCTAACCGCACCGGTTAGGGTTATCCAGCTCCTCTGCTACCTTCATGCCTTGTTCCCATCTTTGATGTCTCGCTTGGCAAACATTGAACCGTGAGATAACGCCGTCCCGCTCGAGCACACACCAGTTTCAGCTGTGTTGGTTTTTCTGCGTATTCAGCCCCCCCCCCTTTTTCCCCTGTTCTTTTTTTCACCGGTGGTCCCCCCCTCCCAAGTCTACCACCATCCGTGGACAAAATTTCGCTTTTTTTTTTTTTTTTGGCCGCCCGAAACAGGCGCAGCAGAATTTCGTGGTAACGGAGCCCTCGTTGGCGGACAATCCCATCGTCTTCGCAAGCGACGGGTTCTTCAAGCTCACCGGTTACACTAGCAAGGAGGTCGGTTGGTGGTGGTGGCGGTGGTGGTGGGGGTAGTGGGGATGGGGTTTTCTGTGTGTGTGTTTTCGGCATACTATAGCGGTGTCGCGGTGACGGGTGGTGTGGTTTTTTAACAGCTTTCGAGCGCGCTTATTTATGGTTTTCACCGGCCTTGATTTTTTCAGACCCCCCCCCCGGAGCAGCGAACATCATCCTAGGATACTCCAAGCGCACAAGTAATGCAGCCGTCAGGGCAGAATTGGGGATCCAATCCCTACGGTCGGGAAGAGACGCAAGGAAGCTGACATGGCAGTATCGCATGTGCGGGATGGGAGAGGAGAGGTTGCCGAGAATAGTATGGGAGGCGAAGTGGGCAAACGAAAAGAGGGGTAGACAACCCACGGAATGGGTCAAGGTTGTAGAGGACGTATGGAAGGGGTTCGACATCGACAAAGATGAAACTCTGGAAACGGAGGGTCTACAGGGGTTCAAGGAGAAGATATCTGTTGCTTGTGTTTAGAGAGAAGAACAGAATCTAAGGAAAGAAACCAAGGATAGGGAGGGTCTAGAAGTGTACGGAATGTTGAAAGAAGGAACAGGGTTCAAGGATTTCCTGCATGGACCAATGGATGCAGGGACAAAGCTTAAGGTCAAATTCAGGACCGGGGACATAGGCCTTCGAGAACGTCGACGAAGACATAGGACGGTAGACGACGAAGACGACAAGTTCAAATGTGATTGCGGCTTCGAAGGCGAAGACCGTGTTCATGTAGTCGCGGAATGTCCCTGGTACGAAGAGGAGAGGGAAGTGTACATGACTGAGCTGAGAAAAATACAAGGGAGGCACAGGGAGATGTTTGAGGCATGGAATAGAGAGGAGAGGACGGTAGCTGCTGGGGAGTAGTAAGTGGTTTGAAATGGCGGGAAGGGATATCGTTAGGATAGACAGACTAGGGAAGACATTTTTGAGCCACCTTTGGCAAAAGTAGGAAGGAACAATTGGCCATCGGGTGATCGGTCCTGTGGGAACAAATGCTCCGTCTTTTGGAGGACGGGGGGTAAATGTTTTAACCGTTAAGGCATGCAAAACACAAGAGTACGACCCCCCCCCCCCGGTCCGGCGCTTCGCGTGCTAGCCTGGCCCGGTGAAAACCCGGCGTGCTCCGTTCCGGCTTTGTAGGGATGCGAGATCGATGGTCTAACGATTACGGCTGCGTTTGCGTGAGTACCTTTTTATGTAGTTTGTGGCAGAAACGTAAAGAGCTCCCAAATGTTGGAGGTGTCTCTAGTAGGGGTAGGGACGGTGCTCCGTCTCGAAAGGGACGCGTGGTCAATGGTCAAATGACTAAGGCAAGCAACAAATGAGTACGCCCCTCCCCCCCCCCGCCCTCAACCGTGTCCTCCCGCCCCACAAACCCTTTGCGGAAACCCGCGCCTCTTGCTCTTGCGGATGGCGGCCTGATTTTTCCCGCGCGCATGACGTGGTTTTGTTTGTTGGACTCTCAGGTCATAGGGCGCAACTGCCAGGTTCTTGCAAGGCCCCGACACGGACAGAAAGTCCATCGCTACCCTGCGACAGGTAAGCGCCTTGCCGTGGCTACCTCCCTCCCTTGCGTGTGGCTGTTGTGCATGTTTTGCATGCTCCGTATGCATACCGTAGGGTGAATGCGGGTCCGCATGGGCGACGGACTTGGTTCCTGTCCTCCCTTGTTTCTGCGGAGCTGTCACCTGCCCCCCCCCCCCCCC